GGGTGAAACCCAGCTGACAGGGTGGGAGGGGGAGGATCCGGCTCCAGAGCCTCTGCACTCCCAGGGCTCAGCCCCGGGGAGCCCTGCCAGGAGCTGGGGGTGAGGAGAAATCCCAGTGGGTTCCTGAGGAGCTCTGGGGTGGGCAGGTGGGGGATGAATGGGACCCCCCCCCATCTCCTCCCAGTGGCCCATCGCGCTGCTGGGTGCTGCTGTGCCCCTTCCCAAAAGGGATTTGGAACGGGAGGAGCCTCTTGAAGACAATTCCCACCACAGGATGTGGCACCCGGGGCTCTGTTGATGACCCCGGGGGGGCTCGGGGGGGCTCACAGGGGTGTCTGGCTCAGCCCCAACGCTGAGTTTTCTCTCCTGCTCCAGGCCAAGAGGAAGCTGGACCTGGAGGGCCCCGAATTTCGCACGCCCAAGGGGAAGGGCCGGACGCTGGCGCAGGTCCCCAGCCCCAGGAGTAAGTGGTGCTGGGTGAGGCGGGACGGGGCTGAGCTGGGAGAGGAACACACCCCACTTCTCTCCCCTCTTCAACCGTGTCCCCTCTAGCACCACCCAATGTCACCTCCCTCCCACACTGAGCAGAGGACAGGGGTCTTTTGTCCAGTGCTGTGTCACCTCTATCCCACACTGAGGCGAGGACAAGGGAGAGTGTCTTGTGTCCAGCTCTATGTCACCTCTGTCCCAAACTAAGGAGAGGACGGGAGGGTCTCTTGTGTCCAGCCCCATGTCACCTGCGTCCCACATTCCACACTAAGGAGAGGATGGGAAGGAAGAGGATGGGTCTCTCACATCCAGCCCTGTGTCACCTCCATCTCACGTCCCAAACTAAGGAGAGGACCGACGGGGGGTGTCTCCTGTTTCCCCCACAGCCCCCAAGTCTCCTGGGGAGAAGACCCGCTACGACACCTCCCTGGGGCTGCTCACCAAAAAATTCATCCGCCTGCTGAACGAGTCCCCCGACGGCGTCGTGGACCTGAACCGGGCGGCCGAGGTGCTGGAGGTCCAGAAGCGCCGCATCTACGACATCACCAACGTGCTGGAGGGCATCCAGCTCATCCGCAAGAAGTCCAAGAACCACATCCAGTGGATGTAGGTGATGCTGGGAAGGAGGGTGGGGCTGGAAGGGTGGCTCGGGGGCCGTGCAGGGTGTGCTGTGGTGTCACTGAGGTGCCATCCCCGCTGGCAGGGGGACGGGGATCTTCGAGGACGCGGCGGTGACGGCGAGGCAGCAGGTGCTGCGGGGGGAGCTGGCTGAGCTGGCCAGGACGGAGAGGACGCTGGAGCAGCTCGTGCAGGACTGTGCCCTGCAGCTCCGGCAGCTGGTGGAAGATGAGGCCAACCAGAGATATCCTTGCTGGGGAAGAGGGGAGGGAGGGAGGGCAGGGTCTTGGGGAACTTTCTGAGCCTCTTCTCCAGCTGGATTCCCCTGGGATTGGCGGGAATGTTTGGAGGGATGGGGGGGTCGATGTCCTGCTTGCAGCCCCTCTTTTTCCTATACCTCGTGCCTGTCCACGCTGGCATATGTCACCTACCAGGACCTCCGTGCCATCAGCAGCTTCCAGGAGCAGACAGTGATCGCTGTGAAGGCTCCCCCAGAGACGCAGCTGGAGGTGCCAGACTTCAGCGAGGTGTGTGTGCGTGGGGCTGGGGTGTGGGTGCTGCTGGATCCGCGCCATCCTCGGTGGGTTCCTCTGGGGAACCCTCCCAGCCTGAGCCTGGGTGGTTTTGCGGTGTCTCCGTGGGGCTGTTTGACCCTGAGCTGGTCCTTTAGGGGTTGCAATGCCCTGTGAAGGCCCCTCGTGGGTTGGGGGCTGTGGGGTGGGATATGGGAGACCTTCTGGCTGCCCCCCCTGAGCCTTGCTCTGCCCCTCCAGGACAACTTCCAGCTCCACCTGAAGAGCACCAATGGCCCCATCGAGGTGTACCTCTGCCCGGAGGAGATCACAGAGGAGAGCCCCACCAAGGACCACCCCGACCCCTACGCTGCCACCTCCCCACGGGACCACGCCATCCCCCTCTCCCCGCCAAACAGCTCCAGACCAGTCCCACAGCTGCCCCACGCCACCCCCCAGGGCTGGGGGGGCACAGGAACCCCCTCCTCACCCTCATCTCTGCCTCTCACCATCCCGGGGGGGCCCAGCTCGCTGCTGGAGGTGGAGCCCGGGCTCCTGGGCTCTCCTGCCCACCTCCTGCAGCAGACAGAGGACCAACTGCCCTGCACCCCCTCCCAGCTGGACTTTGGACCCTTCATTGCCTTCTCGCCCCCCCTGGAACAGGACGATTATCTCTGGGGGCTCGAGGGCGAGGGTGTCACTGACCTCTTTGAGGCCTATGACCTGGGGGACCTGCTGAAGCCCTGAGTGTCCCCCCTGGGCTCCACTGCCTTTGTCCCCACTGGTCACTTGTGTCCTGAGCACGTGGGGTCTCTGCGGGGTGGCTGGGGAGAGTGGGGGGTGTTGGGGAGCGCTGGCTTTTCTGAGGGTGCAGGTGGGGGGCTTGTGTTGCCCACCCTGTGTGGACTCTCCTCACTCTCCTGGGCTGGTTATCACCTGGGGCTGTGTTTGTCCCAGAGATCCATCCAGGTCCCATCCCAGCGTCCTCCCAAAAAACTGTGGGGTGCCAGTGCTGATGCTCCCCACCATAACCCCCCCACTACCCTGGAGGTGCTGGTGGACTGGGGGTGCTTCTGGGTGCCCCAGGTGGCTTTGGGGCACCCCTGGGGGGGGTGTAGAGAAATCCCTGCCCCGAGTGGGCTGTGTCATGTTTTCCAGTTGCTCCCCAGTTAAACTGGTTTTTCAGGGTCATGGCAGGTCGTGTCCAGCGGCGTTTCCCCCCACCACGGCTGGAATATCCTTAAAAAAACCATCCAGGCAGCAAAGCTGAAGTGACCTTTGGGTGATGAGAGGATGAAGCTTACAAGGCTCCAGCAAATCTCTGGCCAGGACACGGAGCCATATTCCCTGGGGGGGCTGCAGCCCCTCTCCCCCAGTCCTTACAAGCTCCCCTCCAGCCTCTTGGAGCTACTGGTGCTGGGAGTATTGAAACTGGAGTGTACTGGGAGGAGGTGATGGCCTGCAGAGGGGCTTGGGAAGCAGCATAGGATGAGCCCTTGGACACAGGGCTTTTAATTGCAAAATATCCATAATTATTGCACTGTATTTATCTGGGCCCTCCCTTTGGCGTGGGGGTCGGGGGGGATTTGGGATTGTCAGTGGGTGTATTTAAGTTGTCCTTCCTTGGGTTGTTGGTGCTCCTGCAGTTTGGCTTGGAGGTGCTGTGGGTGAGAGTGTGTTTTGGCTTGGGAAAACTCGTGGCACTTGATGTTTTCTGCCCGGGAGGGGTTGAAATAAAATGAAATTTTGGTGTTTAGAAGGGGTCGTTTTCCTCTAAGCAGCAAAATGCTGGAGTCATTTGGGAGGAGGGAGGTGTTGGGCTGTTTTTGTTCCTGTTTTCAAGCACAAAAAAGCCTGTTTGGGGGCTTTTTAACTGGCCAGCCTGCTCTGAAGGCACTGGTGGAGAAGGAGGTTGAGATGAAGCCATGAAAACAAGTCTGACCTGCTCCAATCGGTGATTTCCAGCCCAAATCCACCTGGGATGAGCTTTCACCTGAGCTTTCACCCCTTAAACCAGGAGCATGGGAAAAGCCCCAGGGATGAGGGTCAGGTCCCTAGGGATACTGACTCATGCACCCTGATTTCAGGGCAGGTTTGGGGGCTGCAGAGCAAAATCCTGGGGGAGCTGTGCCCGTGGAGGATCCTTCCCCCGCCTGCTGCCTGTCCTGGGGATGCCAACAGTGCTGGTGTCACAGTGATCAGTGGTACCAGGGCATGGTGGTACCTGATGTCTGGTGGTCCCCAGTGATGCCCTGTGGTACCTGGTGATGATCAGTGGTCCCCAGTGATGCCCAGTAGTGACTGGTGACTCTTGCTGGTACTTGATCTCCAGTGGTACCTGGTGATGTCCAGTGGTACCCACTGATGTGGGTGGTACCTGAGCTTGTGGCACGTGGCTCATCTGGTGAGGTGGAGGAAGAGGAGGAGGAAGAAAGAGGAGGAGGAGAGCCCCGGGCCAGGTAAGCCAGGTGAGGGGCACAGAGTGCTGTAGGCACGACCCTGTCCCCATGTCCCCATCCCCGTGGGGCTGCGTGTCCCCCAGGAGCTCGGGGGATGTCCCCGGGTCGTGTGGCCCCCCCGCAGTCCCCGGGCCGGCCAGGAGGTGGCAGGGCCACCCCAGCCAAGGGACCGCCCCGGCCCCGCGCCCGGAGGGACCCCGCGGCGCACCGGGGGGGGGAAGAGAAGGTTGAGGGAGGCTCTTACCCATGGGGAACCCCCAAATCCCTCCTGCTCCCGTCCTGTCCGGGCTGCAGCCTCTTAACCTTGTGTCTGCCAGGGCCCTGCTCTGCTCAGGGATGTCCCGGGAGTTCGGCAGATGCCCGGTCCCCTCGAAATTAGGGCGGGCACCCCCAAACCGTGGGCTTGCCGGTGCCTGAGGGATGGAATCTTCACAGCCATTCATCCAAGGCCTGTGATGGCTCTTCCCACACCCTGGTCCCTCACAGCACCCCAATTACGCCGAGATAGAAGAGGGCTTGGGCTGGACCTGATTAGGCACAGACCTGAGCTTTACTGAGCCCCACCCCTGGCTCAGTAAAGGGGTCGAGGGTTTGTCACCCTCTGACAAGGGGTGCTTGGTGCGAGGGGCGTGGAGGGGTCTGCAAAGCACACTCACCCCCATATTGGCCTCTCCCATGGCAAACCAGCCCCACTGAGGCTTTTTGTCCCCTTCTGTTCCAGTTTGTCACCAGCCCCGTGGTGGGATGTGCTCGGTGTCTGTTCAGCCTCAGCGCCTCTCCCGGCGTGTCCTGCGTGTTCCTCCGGGAAGAGCAAATAACCAGGAATGGGACATCAAAATCCAGCTCCTTGGGCCTGTGAGGGGTGGGATAAGTGAGGGGACAGTGGGCTCAGAGGTCCCCTCCAGCGAGACAAAGGACCGAGGGCTTTGGGAATTGTCCCCTGCTCAAGGATTGTCCCCTCAGGGTCTCAGGAAGGCAAGGATGGGGGCAGCCTCCAGTTAAACCAGTGCCCGGGGGGGACTGGGTTTAATCCCAAGCCATCCTTTACTGCGTCTCCATCTCCTGCCGAGCCGGGGTGAGGTGGCTGAGGGGTGCCTGGGAAAGGTGAGTGTTGGGGTGAGCGGCTCCTGGGTGCCTGGGAAAGGTGGATGTCGGGGTGATGCGAGTGCTGCCTGCCTGGGAAAGCACCCGGCCGTGCCGTGGCGAGACTGGAGGTGCAGATCCAGCCAGACCCCGGGGTT